AGAAACCAGGTGACGGGCGGCCTCACCTTTCAGCGGCACAGACGGGATGGACTCCTTACCTGCAGTTTGACGCATGTTGAGGTTTAACTGCAGGTACAAGTGTTGCTGCTAGGGTTGGGTACGATCTGAGAAAGTAAAAGTCGCATACTAATCTCCTAAAGACCATACTGTGTGGTTCTTTGATACAAAAGTCAAAGGTCCAAGACTGTGTACATAAAAAAACATGGCTCAAGAAGTCAACTACAACTCCCAAGTCGCATTTTGTCAAGAGACATCCAATCGAGACTTTTTGAGAAAACTAATTTTCGTGCAATCTATCGTTTGAGTTCACTTTCTATTGCCATGATTAAATAATTAAGTACAAATCTGTTTCTGTTTTTTTATTAATGCTACAACTCACAGTAATTATGAATTCCACAAAATGTAAAAAAATGCCACCTTTTCAAAGTGATGTCATGTAGCATATATGTGTTTTTCCAACCAACAATTTAAAATCCTAAAAATAAATGTAAAACAAAGAAAAGCAGCAAGTCCTCTCATTTTATAAGCTTTAACCTGATATTGTTTTGCCATTGTGCTTGATGATTTAATTTGTTTCATCGACTTACTCTTTGACCCTATGAGTAATATACAGTATACCCAAATATTGCCATGGCGAGATACCTTATGACTCTGAATTACTTGCAGCCAGCTCTGTCTGGACCATGTTGCCTCCGTCCCACCTCAGTGTCTTCTTTATCTGGACATATTCAGATCAAGTCTGGATGAGACAAACGATCTGGTATCAGAATATGTCTTGAGCAGCGACATTTGGTCAGATCTACTTCCCTCTCCTGTTCCATTTTATCCGTTGGAAACAGTGACGGCTGCTGAACAGAAAAAAACCCCCATCTTGCTCTTGACCATGCATTTAGAGAAGAGCTTTGCAGTGGGTTGAGGGTGCCTTGCATCAGATGCAGACTTTCTAACTTTTTTCAATTGTTTTTTGGAATCTGTAAATGTATCTATTTGGCTACACGCAGTGCATTCAGACATGCATGTACTATGTGTACATGTATATATCTGTACCATATGTGGTTGTTCAGTTGGATCCCACATTTTTTTTGTTTCTTTTTGGTGGAATTGTACTCATTCAAATCTGCCCTCGTCTGATCAGATCGCATTTATACGATGCTGAGTTTGTTAACAGGACCCAAGAGATCAGGAGTTCTTCCAGTTGAGAAATGTAAGTCACACCCCTAGGCATGTTGTGTAGCTGCATTACAAAAGGTCCATTTAGTTTCCTGTATATGTCAAACTGTATTTATCTGATGGGCTTTGGTCAGTTTAAAGAAAATAGGAACTTCTGCAACAGTTGAAATAATTTAAGATAAATGAATTGGCTGTTTTCATTAAGAGTTTACAGCAGAACAATGCAAAAGAAACCATATAAGGTAGATTGTCCACAGAGAATGTAAACTTTTTTGGTAGAAGTTTTCATTTTGTAGACGAAAACATTAAAATCAGTGAAGTAGAACAAAGACACCCCCGCTTGTCATGTCTCAGATCCTGCAGTATTTCTTTATGCATACTTCAATATGACACAGTTTAAAACAATTCGTAAAATAAACGACAGGGAACCCCGAAGTGTTTCTTAGTCTTAAATATGCTGATAATTGTATCGATGTCAATTCAAAATGTAGTCAGAAAAGTTCCTATAATGTATAGAGCCCATTGAGCCAAAGGTCCAAGAATCACCCATCATCAAAAAGATATGTTTCAAGCTACAATTCGGATCTCCCAAACCTAATTAGTGTTTTTATTTTTATTTATCCTATATGTATGACTTTTACAGAATGTTCTTTTGTTTATTGTTGTTATCTAGACTAAGTTTATCTCGTACATTTTGATCTGATCCTCCCCAACACATCATTGCTTTCTGATACATGCCTTTTCATTTGTTGAACCATTTGGCGGTTCTTTAACACGTAGAGTCAAAGTGTTTCACTGTATCTCCCATGGGAGCACACTTACAGTAGGCCTAGGCTCCACGGGAACGAAAGCGGGTTGTATCCGCATATTTCTCTTGCGTATAGCCCTTTAAGCTACACGACGCCGTAACGGAACGGTAGAAACGGACCCTGCAAACGACAACGGGTCCAAAGGTGGATAGATCTGGGAACGGAGCGCTCTGGGGGGGTCCAACGGGGCCGTGTGGTAGCCTATACGGTCATCCGTTTCCGGGCCATATGAAACACAGGGCTGTTCTGCACATTGCAATGAAAATCAGAGGATAGCTCAGACTGTAGACTGTACTGTAGTTTGCTCTGTGCCATGAGAAGGTGCATTCTCTTTGAATGAGGGTCACTTCTTGGATTATAATGCTGTGGCTATACAACATGTTGCAGAGAGAACTCACCTTCAACATTATGACAAACAGCATCTACAATTACAATCAACCAACCATTCACTCTTGGCTGCTTTCATTGACTCGCATCGTCTCAGGAAACTCCAGCAAAAATCAATGAGCTCTTTGCTTGTCTAGTCGCAGCCTTTCTTGAGTCCAAACATGTGTTTACACCGAGTCAGTTTTGCAAAGACATCTTGAATGAAGGTGTTCAATTGGTTTCTTTGAAGGAAGTGTTGGTCAGTTTTCATTACAGACGTGTCTCCTGCTTCCATAGTTTGAAGCTTCTGTTTTCGTTTCGTCATTGGCAGGATGTGCTTGACCTTTTTGGACTCTCAGGCCACCGTTGGTCACCGTCTCATCTCTGTACTACTTTCCCTAATTTAGCTTGTCACCAGATGACGGGAAAAGAGATTGAAGTTTTTCCTCACTCGAACCTCGAACCTGTTTCCTGGGGTGTCAATCAGAGGACTCATTTGTGTGTGTGGGGTTGAAGGAAGGAGAGAGGAAGATTAGCTTCATCATCAACAGCAGCGCAATACCTCATATTCTTTCTCTTTACTTTCATTTCTCCTGCTTCTTTCCCTTCATCCATCTTCCATTTCTTCTTATTCTTTTACCGCATTCTGCTCCACTCTTCCCATCCCCCTCTGTCTCCTTCTCTCTCTCTTTTTTTCTGTCTCCCATCCACCCCTCCCCTCTCTTTTCTTTCAGTATTCTTTCCTTTTCTCCATCTTCTCTCCCTCTTTTATTCGCTCCTCTCCTTGTCAGTCACCTTCCATCTCTTTCTCGTCCTCTTTCCCTCTCCCTATCACACACTTGCATCCGAGTCCGTGCATGAAACAATCTTCAAACACTTTCCCCTACTCCTAAACCTCACTTGATAAATGAGAGTGAAAGATACAAAAGCACACAGAGAGAGAGAGAGAGAGGGAGAGAGAGAGAGAGAGAGATAGATGCATTGGGGATGGACAGAAAGGGACTCGGCAATAAATAGAGCTAAGAAACCGATAAAGGAAGAGAGGCAGAAACAAAGACAAAGAATGACAGACGGAGATGTAGAGTGAGGCTGGAGGATCCATCATTTCACACTGATAAAATGTGCATTTCATTTTTGTTTTTTAAAGGTTTGAGGTGCCCATTTATCATGACACTATCAAGGAGCCAAGTGCCAGCCAATCATAAAAAAGCTGCTTGTTTATTTTAAATCTACTCTCCACATGCTGATTCGTCGGAAGGACGTTTGTTTGTTTGTTTGTGTCTGGTCTATGTTTGTGCTAGTGTGACCAAAAATGAAACTCTGTTGAAGAAAAAGAAGAAGAGGGTTGGAGGCGGGCAAAGTAAGCCCCGCCTCCTCTCATCCCTCACGTATAAATAGGAGGCGAACGTAGCCCGTTCGCACTCAGCACTCCAGTGAAGAATGAGATCCTTAAAGCACCTGAAGCCTCACAGCAAGAGGAGCGTGGTGAGTTCATGGGCTCTCACTCGTAGCATGTTAAGTGTTTCTGTGATGAGGACACTCACAGCTGAGAGACAGCTGGAGAGCTGCTGACTGAGATGCTTCTCTGTACTTTGTTCTTCAAGTTGCCATTTGCAGATTCATCTTCCTCACTCATTAAGAATTGTGTATGGCTTTAACTCCATTCGCCTTTTTTGTATATCTTTCATTCTGTCTGGCTTTCATTTTGTCATTTTCTTTCTCCTTCTGGTTACTCACTGCATCTCTCTCTCTCTCTCTCTCTCTCTCTCTGTCTCTCTCTCTCTCTCTCTCTCTCTCTCTCTCTCTCTCTCTGTCTGTCGCTACATATCTTTCTTTCTCTTTCTGCCTCTTGCTCTCTTTTGACTGCTGCCTTACACTCACCCTCTCACTCTCTCTCTCAGCCTTCCTCCTCCTCCCCTCCTCACCCACCCCTCCTCCTTATCTCTCCTTTACTCTCCCTCTACCTTTCATTTTTCCTTTTCACCCCCCTCTCCCCCCTCCCCTCCACCAGACGATTGCCTGCTCTAAGCTCTCTCTCCTCCCTCCCTCCCTCCCTCTGTCTCTGCTTTTTCCTCTTTCTCCCCCCTCTGTTCTCTCTCTGCTCTCCCATGTTTTTGTCCCCCTTCTGCTTTTCCATTCTTTATTTATATTTCTTAATCTTACTCAGTTTTTTCTTCCTATTTTTCTCCTCTTGCACTTGCATATGTGCTGTGTGTAGATCAGTAGGCCATCTAATCCTCCACACACACACACACACACACACACACACACACACACACACACACACACACACACACACACACACACACACACACACACACAAGCCATACATGGTTAGCACGCTGGATTAGGATGGTGGTGTCTTTCATAGCTCCAGTGTCTCAGTCACTCTATCCAAAGATGTGCCTTAAGACAGTCCTGGTTCAGGTTTGCTTAACATTGATTTGTGATGAGGTTAGTCGCTGCAGGAGGAAATGTTCTCTGCTTCCTTTGTTTTTCCTTCCTTGTGATGCAATAAGGGGCTCCTTAGAATAAAAATAGTGTCTTTCTCCTTCCTTCCTTCTTCCTTGAAAACCGACTCAAAGTGACGCTCTGATTGGACGATGACCTACGACACCTTTTTGTCTTCATCAGATCACTTTGATGAAGGACACATTCTCGTTGGAGGACAGTTTGCTGTAGTTTGTCTCTTGGTAAATTATTGTCATTACTTTCCGGTGTTGGTTCGTATTGTAGACCATGTAGTGGTATCCTAAGTGTCCTGTGTTGACAATTTCGTGCTTTTTGCAAGTTCTCAATTGAGAGATTTGGTGAAACAACAATCAAATGTTTCAGGTGGCTGGTTTCGGTGAAACCCTTCTTGCCGACAATGCAACTTAAAAACGCTGATAGAAATAAGAACCTTGGTTTAATTATTTTTCTAAAAATATCTTACCATAGCTGATTCTGAACAACTAAGTTTCTTCCTAGCAGTACTGATGTCTTGTCTTTGCTTGTCTCTCTGTTCCAGGAGGAGGCGAGCCGGCGCCTGGGTAGATGTGAGCCCAAGGTAATGGCCAGGCTGGTGGACATAGGCACACAGACAGATCCAGTGGTCGTGCTGTCCCTGGCCCAGGCTGCCGTGCTAGGTCTCATCTCCCAGAATGAAGTGTTTGGCGCCACCATTGCACCCAACGGCTTCTACACCGGCGAGCCCAAAGAGTCCCCCGCACCGACAGTAGAAGGAGTCGACTACGAGTACGCAGACCAGCTTATCGGAGCCAACGGAGATTACCTCGGAGACAACTTGGGAGAAGACGGACAGATGCAACCCAGCTGCAGTCAGAGGAGGTGGCAGCAGGGGCCCCCTCAACACCCCGACACAAAAATGGTGGGTCCCGATCGCCACAGCCTTCAAGGCGCTGACATTTCCACGTCACATGTGAAAGGGGAAGTAGTGAACTCTGGGATGCCCTCCTGTGTCCACATGCTGAACAATATGGCTCCCAGAGGCGGATTAGTACAAGTGGACCCGGCCACGCTCAGAGGCACCAACAAGAACTGTGTAGAGTGTGAGCGGGATGTAACCAACCAGACGCAAGCCAACACACACGTTCACCCTCCTCCCCCTCAGGTGGGCCACAGAGGAGGGGAGCAGGGCCACAGAGGGCTTCAGGGCCAGCGCCCGATGGGGGCCCACGGTCGAGGTGGCAGAGAGGAGGAGGAAGAGGTGGAACACCCGGTGAACAACATGATGAAGCCCACGCAGCAGGAGGAGGCCATCAGCAGCTACTTCCAGACCAGTGAAGTGGGCAGCTATGATTCGGCGGAAATGAGCATGCCGAGCGAGTACGAGGACAGCAGCCAGAACATGATGTGGACCGACGGGAACACGGCGGCGGCGCAGCACCAGCCGCCTCCACACCCCCAGCCTCCTCGTCGGCACGGCGGCCGCAGAGTGGACCGGCTAGACATCAACATCCAGATCGACGAGTCTTACTGCGTGGACGTGGGGGATGGTCTGAAGCGCTGGAAGTGCCGCATGTGTGACAAATCGTACACCTCCAAGTACAACCTGGTCACGCACATCCTGGGCCACAACGGCATCAAACCACACGCCTGTCCGAACTGCGGGAAGCTCTTCAAGCAGCCCAGTCACCTTCAAACCCACCTGCTGACCCACCAGGGGACGCGGCCTCACAAGTGCACCGTCTGCAAGAAGGGCTTCACCCAGACCAGCCACCTGAAGCGACACATGCTCCAACACACCGACGTCAAGCCCTACAGCTGCCGCTTCTGCCGCCGCGGCTTCGCCTACCCCAGCGAGCTGCGGGCCCACGAGGTGAAGCACGAGCGTGGGCGATGCCATGTGTGCTCGCAGTGCGGCATGGAGTTCCCCACCTACGCCCACCTCAAACGCCACCAGACCAGCCACCAGGGGCCCCACACCTTCCAGTGCACCGAGTGCAACAAGTCGTTCGCGTACCGCAGCCAGCTCCAGAACCACCTGCTGAAGCACCAGAGCCCGAGGCCTTACACCTGCTCCCAGTGCGGCCTGGAGTTTGTGCAGCTCCACCACCTCCGTCAGCACTCGCTCACACACAAGGTACTGACACCTCTCACACCCTGGCTTCCTGACTACTATTGTTAAAATCATTCTATAAATATTGCCTGCATTGATAATCAGACTGTGGAGGGTTTTCTTTTTGCAATGTAAAAGAAAAGGAGAGTAGAATTATGGCTGGGTAAAGTCATTGAAATTGTGATAATATGTATTGTATTTTTTGGGATATAGTAATATATTTTCCTGGTTTTAAGGATGCATAACAAAAAAGTGATATATTTTTCTGAAATGAATGTACTTATATCCACATTACTGATATCAAACTGTATCTAAATGTGCATTGGTTAACCCTGCAATATGGTCACATTATCTATATTGAGGTATTTCGTCAACATTGAAGGGATATACGATTTTCCTTGTATTGCCTAGCCCTAAGAAGAATACAAAAGCAATCACACACACACAAACCCTCTGTTCATCTTCTGTCTTTACCTACTGTTTGTGTCTTATTTCAGACTCGTATTGTAACTAAAACTTATTTGGGGTCAGGCAGTATAGAAGTGAGTGTAAACGGCAAAATATCCCAAATCAAGGACAGACTTTTTTCCATATTTTTTCTATCCTTGTTATAACCCATTTATTGTTGGAGGGCTAATAAGCAGGAAATGTGCCGGTGTACAGTTACTCACCCATTCTCTATTCAATAGAGGAAGCTCCAGGCAGTGTCCTGGGGAGAATAGAGTATCTTGCTTTGAAAGAAGTGTGTCATGTTAACAAATAAGGACAAATCTGTTGCAAGATAAATCCCCATCAAATGTTTGATTAAGTAAATGACAGGAATAGATATGTTGGTTCAGTGCTGCTTTGTCACAACTATTTGATTCTGTAAAATCGCAATACTGAGCCTCTTCATGTACTCCTCATTATAGTCTCATCTGAATGAAATGTCTGTAATTGCACATGCCCCCCTGTGTGTTCGACACACAATTAGTCGCGCACACAGGTAGGGAAGAGAGAGAAGATGACAGAGAGATCACAATGCATTACTTATTACAGGACTATCTTTTCACCAATTATTCAGTTTGAGGTCGTACTAAAATACTTGACATGTGACATCTTGACATTTCTATTCACAAACCACAATCTCCATCTGGATGAGGTATTTTTCTGATCCAACTACCAGACCTTTAACTTCCTCATATAGATAGAGCAGTGGATAGATAGAGTTTCTAATATAACTCACACACAGTGACAAAAGAAATTCTGAATTCCAGAGGATTTATCTAAATTTGATTACTTTCGAGAGAACAAAAACACTAAGCCACAGTCATCATGAGAATGGGAGAGCGGTATTCTCAGTGGAGAGAATATTCTCTTTTGTATTTAAGCCTGAAGTCTGTTCACTGCTCCCCCTGGTGGAAAACAGCAACACTACACATTTGTTTTGCAGACATTGAGGGGGGACTGACAGTCAGCCAGATTTCTCTTCTTATACAAACACACAGTCCCTTGACCCACTGGCGACCTGTAATGCATAGTTGTTCTTCTCAATAAACCAGAATACATTTATCCAAACCAATTGGTGTTTCTGCTGACATTTAAGACAGAGTGTGTGGTGCAGCAGCTGACAAGCCTCAGGGCTGTAGATGTTGTCTGCTTCTCTGACTGCCGCTCAATGCTTATACATGTCCTGTCGCATGTGGTTGATTTTACAGGCACCAAATAAAGATGAGTCGCTTAGGATTTCTTTCTTTCTCTGTACTTAAAGTCATTTATTGTGGTACACTTCAAAATGGCTGCCATAGATGTTGATATCATCAAACAAATGAGAACCATCCCACTGGCAGGATGTGAATATCGTTACGATATTATTTTAAAACTGTCACTGACATCCCAGACAACCGGTTGGTTTGCCTTCATAGCCCTCTGCTCTAAGCTGTTATTCCTTCCTTGTTGAAGATCAAATCAGATACTAACTTACAGTTGATAAGCCAGTTGTTTTCAAAGTAAAATGCTTGGGGCCTACTCAGAGACCAGTGCCCCCAAAATAAAATAAGATAGGAGTTTCAGAGATATAAGAACCCTGTTGATAGTGCAGTTATGTAAAACGTCTATATTGGGGGTACAACATGAAACAACAGTTCATATTATTGGATTTTGTCCCTCCTAATATTGTTCCTTATCTTACTACTTCTACCATATCTCAATGCTTTGGAAATCCCATAATGCTTTGGGGTGAAAACAACAGGAAGTATATTGTTGCCATGATGATGGGTTTCACAGTGTGCTACGTTTTTTTAGCCTTCATTTTGACAAAAAGGCACCATGAAAAATGTGCAGAATTACCTATTAGCTGTTACTGTTTGCGATATGCTCATGGCCGTTTAGAAAGGATCCCTGGATTACTTGGATTGGACCTGGATTAACCCTTTTCTTTCTGTTTGGACTCCGCAGGGGGTGAAAGGCCACAAGTGTGACGTGTGTTCCCGAGAGTTCACCCTGTCGGCCAACCTGAAGAGACACATGCTGATCCACAACAGCGTCAGACCCTTCCAGTGTCACGTCTGCTTCAAGAGCTTCATCCAGAAACAGACCCTGAAGACCCACATGATCGTCCACCTGCCTGTGAAGCCATTCAAATGCAAGGTGAGTGGTGGAAGTGGATACAAGAGAGTATAGATAGATAGATAGATGGATAGATAGATAGACAGACAGATAGATAGATAGATAGATGGATAGATGGATAGATAGACAGATAGATAGGTAGATAGATAGATAGATAGATAGATAGATAGGTAGATAGATAGATAGATCGATAGATAGATAGACAGATAGATAGGTAGATAGATAGATAGATAGATAGATAGGTACTTTGTTGATCCCAATTTGGGAAATGTTTGCGTTTCAGCAGCATAAAAAACAAGGCATTGTACATAAGAGAAAAATACTTCTGAAATAGAAATAAAATAGCATAAAAAGTAAAAAAATATATACATGTGGAAATACAGTAACAAATATAATGCAGGGTATTATTGTGCAATAATTGATTGGAGGAAGTATACGATTTTCCAATCAATTTTGGTGTGAAATGAAATGTGATGGCGCATTTTCAGTTTAATTTAATATAACAGGATTATGTGAGGAGGATAATACGCTGAAATTCACATTAGTGTGGGAGAGAATTTCACTCTAAGCTTTGAGGCATCCGTTATAAGGCAGGATGTTTTCATCTCTAACTACAAGAAGCTACTCTAAAGTGAATCTTTAAATTAGTTTATGTCCTTGTCAATCAATGTCAGTATTTTATGTGATTTCTTTATTTTCCTCCAGGTGTGCGGCAAGTCTTTCAACAGAATGTACAACCTGCTGGGCCACATGCACCTCCATGCTGGCAGTAAGCCCTTTAAGTGTCCTTACTGCACCAGTAAGTTCAACCTGAAGGGGAACCTCAGCCGGCACATGAAGGTCAAGCACGGGATGGAAGTCTCGCCAGAAGGACAAGGTGAGGCCGCTGCACGTGTTCTCACATTTTATTCTACAAGTCTTATTTAGCCAGTGAAGGTTCATTGAAAGTCTGAGATCTTGTTCACAATCCCCAGCAGTGAACCTCTGATTGTAAACCCATTTATGGCATGCTTCGACAGCTTTAAAGCAAACATCCAAACTATAAAATGATACACACATGCCTACAAATTCAAATTATTGACAGTGTCTGTGGTGAATGTTCAGTCATGTTTTAATTTTGAGGTTGGATTTGTATTTGTAACTATGTTTTTATTCAAATGAGTCATCCGTGTGCTAAGCCAGAATATGTAAATATCATATAATTGGACCCCTTCATGCTGCTGTTTCTTAATACAAATTAATATTTCTCCCAGACAGGCAAGAAAACATGAACAAATAAAACAGTTTTTTTTAACGTCATACGTCAAACGCGTCATATTACGTCACATAGGGGAGCAACTTTCTCGGACTCCTTCTCTGCCCAATTCACGGTAGTAGTTGGTAGTTGGTTTGAGCGGTTGTGATTTAGTGAGCTGGTATTTTTTCGGTAATTTTACATTGCATTTCACCATTTGTAATCATGGTGAGCTATTGTGTTTGTTTCCAGCCTGTCAGCGTCAGGACATCGAGTCCACAGCACCGTAAGACGTAGTGTGGAGTTGCATTAGTTAACGCAAGGTAACGCGAGATACGGCTGATACTTGCGCATTAGTTTCTGTTATGGCTCAGTATCAACAGTCCCGCCAGTAACGTTACTATATTATCAATACTACTTTAGATATAGCCCGATATATGATAGCTAACTTTACAATGTTGTGATGTGACCGACGTTAGCTAACATTAACTGTAGCTAACGCCGGTCACTCACCAAGACAGCTGCCCAGTTCTCCACTGATTCTCGTCACACCACAGCTCCATTTCTCTCCGATGGCCGTTATTTCTTCTAATCCTTGGCTGCTCCTGGTCTCTTGGACGCCTAGCAGGCTCATAATTATAAGGTTGTGGTCCGTCATATGCATACGAATATACATTTTCAACCTCTTCTGTGTCAAAACTAGCATTGTGATCCATGTTTATTAATACGTTAGACCGGCCGCTCTCCCTGATGTGACGTCACACGCGGGTGGTCTTTTTTTATGCGGAAGTAAAAATGTCTTACAAAAACTATGCCAGATGTCACTGTGGTGCAGTGTTTCTGTATATTTTTTTGAAAATCTATTGTATACATCATTTTCCTACACATTTGTTCACTGGGGTCTCTAACCTGCAAGTTGCTCTTTGTGGTATCCACTTCCTTTTGCTTTTCACTTTTTTAGGCAACATTTAATTTATTTGTAATATGTTTACAATTATTGCAACACTATAATTTGCAAGAAAGTCCCTAAAAAAACCTCAATCACTAAATCTCCCCCTCACAGTTCTTAATTAAGCAGGCTACAAGGAGTGTTTGAGTGTTCAAATCTTAATTAAAATGACCTATTTTGTTCCACAAAACGTATCGGTTCATTGTTGCTCTTTTTAATCAGAATAGTATAGGAGAACTATCTAGGATTTGGAATTCTGAGGCTTTATTTAACCATATAAATAAAAGTCAGAAGTTTTGTAGCATAAATGTATGAATAATATTTTTTTGTTAATGTTATTTTTAAAGCAACAACCCATATTTATTAACCTTAAAGCAACACAACAATGTGAAACATGGTTTGTAACCTTAATGACCAAAGTTCGCCCAGGAATTTCTTCAGCATAGACATATTTTAATGTGAAATGTACTTAACAATACTTTTTTGTATTTCCCAGTAGTTCATCCGGAAATGGATAACCAGGGGGAGTATGAAGGACAGAACTTCAACTTTACATCACCAGACAATATGGACAATGGTGGCTCCCAGAACCTTACTAAGCTCACCACGGCTAACATGGATGACATGGAGGAATATTACAACTTTGGGAAGGATACGAGCAGCTACGCTACACCTTGAGAGGCGATGAACCAGAGGACATGTTTTCTTCAAGGCAGAAGGAAATTACAGAGCTGTTGTCAAGGCTATGGGAGACACTGGGGACGAGTTATTTTTTACTTTTAGTTTTGGCCTCCTTCCAGAAGAGCCAGAACTGAAGGACTCTGATGGGAGGCCGGGAAGGAGACGCACGTCAGAGGAGACGCTTTAGCTCTGCTGCTGAGGGCAGAGACACTGAACATGTTGACGCTGTTCTGGGACTCCTTTTTTTGGGATTACTTCACTTACCGACTCAAAGACTTTCACTGGCGGACAGTCAAATCTGTATGTTGTGTGTATGTATCAGTTATTTGAAGAAAAAAATGAAGAAAAGAAAAAAAGTTGCAGAGCCATCAGTTACATTTAAAGTGATAGAAATTTGTTTGCCATTTTTGTAATTCACCACCAATGTATGCCCTTATATTTTTGACTGAAAGTGCCAGCTAGATACATTTGCAACTACGCTTCCACCATGTCAGCTATTTACTCACTGTATATCGAACTTTGGATACATAGTCACAACATATTCATAGGTTTGAATGCTCTTACTAAACAGTTCCTAATTGTAGCTTCTTGCCCAGCCCTCAGTTTAAAAACAGGACGCTCTCTCAATGCGTGTGTGCTTTTCTGCACCGGACATTGTAGCCTCTATCTCTCCAGGGCACTTACGACCAAAGTTGCTACTGTCCCATGTCGGCTGATACCAGAAGACTTTGTTAGCGACATGCAAAGCCCTGTCACTGTACAAAGGATTCTGCAACATGCAGTGTTTACCCACCTTTTGTCTCACATGGTTTAGCTTGACATTAATAATCTATCCCGTGTAGTGAATATACTGCTCAAAGTTTTTGAATTACTGAGTGAACAATACAAAGCACTTTTTCAATGAGACCTTTCTTCATTAAGAGTGAACTCATTTGCCTCGAGGAGAAGAGCTGGGGGAGCTAAGATTGTAGAATCTTTCAAGCCCCCATAACGGCAATATTATTGAACACAAATAGAAATGCTCTCTCAGTGGGTTTTTTGTAAACTGCAGTTTCACAGTTTAAATGCAAATTGAAGAATCAGCAGTTTGCTGATCAGGTTCGGGTTTTTTGTTGTTTGTAGTTTCAGCACTCTTAATTCCAGGGCGGTTTTCACTTCACTTTCTCAATTCAGAAGTATATTTCCCTGCTTATTTGGAAACAGCACTTGAAGTGGATATCCAATCAGTAGATTGAAAAGAAGAAAATACACTTTTGGGAGGTCTTGGTTACATTTTGTATGATTGAATTGAAAGTGGACTGACAATTGTCCTGATATCCATTCATCTGTTTTGGGGAAGGCCGTCAGCTCCCCCTGTCCTGCCATGCAGGTCAGCCTTGATATGCACACTAAACCAGAGGAAGGGTCTACTCGCTCTTCTTCGAGATGAGGAAAATCAAACTGAGACCTCATGGAAAATGACCATGAATTATTTAATAAAGGTTCTCTTGTTTAAATAATGGAGAGTGGTGTTTTAATCTGTCTGTTTTTTGAGTTTTTTTTTCCTCAGTCAGGTATTTTCTGCCGTTTGGTGTTTGTCCATCAGTTGGTCCACCACTTTGATACGGACTGCAATATCATTATTATTGAATGGATTCCTATGAATTTAGTACAGAGTCAGACACTCTTGATTCCCGGGGGTTGTATACTACTGACTTTGGTTACACTTTTAGTGAAATGTCTTAACCTGAAATGTGTCCTACATGTTGGTTTACGATTGAACACAAAACAAGCAACATACAAAGAGTCGATGCACCTAAGAAACACACCCTTATTTAATTGTATAAGCGTTGTTTCATTATAGTACACATACGATACATACAGGTGTTTCTCATGCAGAAATGCACCAGAACAAATTGAGAGATAGTACCACTATAACAAATATATGTTTTGCTATATCCAGAGCTGTAATTGTAGTTGGAAAATCCAGCACCAATCCCACTGAGATGTAGGGTGGAAACAACTACTCTTAACCTATAAAACTTGTCACATTCCCATCAGCCTCAGCATGTTGTTTGTGATTACTAGTAAATGTTAAATGGCTTACATGCTAAACTAAGATTGTGTTAGCATATCAACTTTGAATAAGAAAAAGAGCAAAACAAATTGAAGTCTTCGGACCATTTGTATTGTATGCAGTCAGTGGCAGGAGGTTAGTGTTTTGCTTTAGGACACCTTGCCTGTTGTTGAAACTGAAATGCACCTTTTGGGTTGTGTCTGTGGTCTCTCTGAAGCCTCAGTCATCTCCAGTGCAGACCCTCCAACTTTAAGGTGTGCTCTCATGGATTGGTTCTCCACTGTTTCACGGATGCTTGGCATTGTGCACGGATTACATTTCCATAGGAAATCATTTCCCAGGAAGTGATTGAACAATTTGCTCAGAGATATGACTCTTTTATGGCTGCCGATCATAAGTGAGAGCTGCTTTAGCACTTAACAGTTTCACAGGAATGTTCCTCCTGGAAGGAAATTAAAAAGCTGGGAAAAACGTAATCTAAATGCTAATTTCTGGTAATTTTTTCGATGGAGGCACCTTGTTCCTTTTCTTTAACTTTCTTTGTACTGTGAGAGACACACGAGCATATTTCCTGGTCAGTGGTTAACTTAATAAGTTAACCTCTGTCAAGCCATTTGAGTATCATATGCTGTAGAATAGATAGAGAATTAACAGCAAGAAAAGCACAATATCAAACTAAATATTGTTTTGTTTGTTAGTGTTTGTATACTCCACATTCCTTTAATTAAATCACCAGCTAGGCCTAAAAAACATTGTATCCACATGATGACCACCATCTTATTTAGATGAAGAGAAACGTTGCTAGAAGGTAGATTCAACTTGTGATTGACAATCTGACACCATCTTCAATTTAGTGCAGAAAGCCTAATGTATTCTCTTCTCTATCTTTATTAGAGATTTTATTCTATTCTCTATTCTGCAATACAAGCAGTTTTAAACAAGGATTAATAATGATCTGCAGGTGCATTTTCTTTTTGCCTAGAATTTCAGGTTTCAGTGTAATCTGGTTGTACATTAAAGCTTTCATACACAGTGCAGCACCTAACTGTCCGACTGTGACCATGTCGACATCTGCTGGTGTGATACTGTAGTTGTAAGTACAGCAGGGAGCTCTGGCAGACCTCCCATTAGATCCGGCCCCCTGCTGGTGCAAACACACTCACTGTCAGGCACTGGATGGTGCATATGACAACCACTAAATGAGCATCACGCATGAATGCACTGCTGGACAGGGGCTCATATGTGCAAGTGCATGAAATTAAACTGAAGTGAAATTGTACGTGGCCAGCATTTACTTTTAGGGATTATGAATTCAACATCTGGATATGTCAGTTCTCTGGAGCCCCTGCGGAAACCTCTACAGTGCCTCTAGAGGATTTATGGATTTAACACTGGCTCAACATTACAAACATGAGTGTTACGGTGGATTCAACTGAGCACTACTTGGCATTCCTTAAATATCTCATCTGAAGTTCCTCCAGAGGGCTTTATAACCTATTAACTGTTATCACACCAAAACTTCCCAGTGCTATTATTAGACACATTTTGTTCAAATGAAAGATAAAGGCTTCTTCATCACCATAAATATAACTGACCCTCATGCTAGGAACATATTACACATACAAAGGGCTAATGATTTCTGTCCCTGAGAACCCTACTGTAAGTAAAAACCATGTTAACCTATTTAGATCGGCTAGAGATCATCATAGATCTGAGGAATATAAAAAACTGTTAATTTAGAAAAATGAGTTACTGTGATACACAAAAACAAATACAAAACAAACACAAATTATTACCATATGCATCTGAGTGCTCATACTCACTGACAGTGTGACACTTTAAACGCTGACCCAGGACAAACATAAAATCCATAATTTCCACCTATTAAAATTGCATTGGGTGCCATTGACTGTAGACTCCAAAGACATTAGTATTTCTGAAAAATAACAATAAAACCAGAAACAAAAAACAATGATATAAAAGGTGTGAAAAATAGCAGTAATATAATAAAGCATCTGTGAGATAATACAAGTATACTTTGGTCTGACGGTAGTCCAGTTGGTAGGATTATTATCGGTACTGAGGAGTGTGAACTTCAATCCAACTAAACCCAAAAGGATATTGTGTTTTTTCTATCATGCATGTTCAGGTAAGCAAGAAACAACTAACAGTGTTTCTACTGAAGATGAGAACAACATGACAATAAAGCAGAAAAACATACACTGCATGTTAGAGTGATTATCACAATCCTTTTTATTTGCATGCTGAGCAAAACATGGCATCACTGTCCTTGATTGTATATTGAAATTGACATGTGTTTGACATGGCTGTTATAAGTTAACATCAATATTAATTCAAACAGTACAATTACTTGCAATACAAAACTGTAAGGTGGCAGAGGAACGAGCACAGTGTGTGTCAGTCAGCTTTACAAAAACAAAAATGGCACGGAAGGTAGTAAACTTGGTTCCTTCAAAACAGGGTGGTCCAATCCCCCAAATCTTCATTTCCACAGAGCTTTGTCCAAGTTGGTCTTAATGGCATCCAGGAAGTCCGATGTGTTGACATAATGTTCATTCAGCTTGCAGCTGTAAGATCACAGTGCAGAGGTTACAATTATGGTACTATTATAAACTCTGTTCCCATGTTAAAACAAGAGAAAAGGTTTTCTTAAAGCAGACATACAACACCAAGTTTAGCATGACAGAGGGATGTAAAATGTAAACTCACTTTGCCAATCCATGAATGCAACTGGCGAGGTCTTTGGTCATCACGCCTTTCTCCACAGTAGCAACACAGACCTGTTCTAACGTGTGGCAGAACCTGGAGAGCAACAATGCAGAGGATTTTATTCATTTGAAGTAAAGTAGCATATTTTGTATGAGTAAATACAATTAAAAAAGATGACATACTTTATCAAATCAGTATTTCCGTCCAGTTTGCCTCTGTGCTCCAGTCCTCTGGTCCAAGCAAAGATGCTCGCGATGGGGTTAGTACTCGTTGGTCTTCCCTACAAAGCAAGGACACAGTTAGGGGTCGCTGCAGAAAACATCATTTTCAAGACTTGTGGTTGCTTTGCATTCAGGTACTTTGATGCTACTGTAGATGGAGACATTCCTTTCTCTGCCTCTTTTACAATAAAAGAATAGGATGTACTATGAAGGACTTGCAATGTAACTATAATTGACTATTAATGACAAGAATACCTATAAAACAATTCCACTCTCAAACTTATAGCAGTTCTGCTGAAAATAGCACAACATGCTAAACTCACTGTCAAACAGTGTATTCCTTAGGTTCCACACTGAAAACTCTGTGAACTGCAGTATAGTATTGTGTCATTTGATTCTGAAATTCAACATTGGTCATATTGACATGATTTTAACCCACCATTTGATTTATACAACAGTTAAAAAACACTCAGCAGTGTGGCCTGGTGGTTCTTACCCTCTGGTGTTCCCGGTAGTGCCTGGTGACGGTGCCATGGGCAGCCTCGGCCTCCAGAGTCTTTCCGTCAGGGCAAATCAGCACTGATGTCATGAGACCCAGAGAACCAAAACCTGGACACAACACACAGCACACAGACACACAGACACACCTGGCATCACAAGGTAATCCCACAAATATAAGCACACAAGACGTAGCTCAGATGTAAATAATGTATCATTGTGACTGTGTGGCCTGAAGTGAACAAGCAGGGCAACTGCCGACCAATCATCAAATGGAAGTGCACTAACCCTGAGCCAGAATGTCTGACTGCACGTCTCCATCGTAATTCTTGCAGGCCCAAACGAATCCTCCAGCAGACTTCAGGACCTGCGCCACCATGTCGTCGATCAGACGGTGCTCGTACCAGATCTTCAGCTTGTCAAACTCTGGCTTGTATGTCCTAAAAGAAACAGAATAAAGTCAAACATTTGTCTCATCAACAGAGACTATTTAATCCAGTGGGTTGACCATTATACATTATAACTGGAGAGCATGCACTGTTTCTGCATCTGGTTTCATAGTTAATTTCTTGAAAAACGTCAAAACAATCCAGTGCATCAAGTCCTCATCCTTACTGTTCAGTATCTTACTTCTCAAAGATGTCCTGGAAAATGTCTTTGAAGCGCCCGTCGTAGTACTTGAGGATGGTGTTCTTGGTGCTCATGTATAGAGGCCACCTTTTCTGGATGGCATACTGGAAGCAGCTGTGAGCAAATCCACTGATGGACTGTGCACAAAAAAACAAATCCAATAATAAGGTCCACATTTTAAACAAAAACAAGTTAGCAAATGCACAGCCCAAAGGAAATATTTTTCTAACAGATTAGCTTTAACTGTCTGTAAATATTGCACTTTTTTTCATGGGAATTCATGTATGAACAAACTCTTACTGTACCTCATCCGTGTTGTACATCCCCATCCCACAGCCGCCTGCAGGGAAGTCGTACACCTCCCACTCCCTCTGCTGGCTTCCATCGGCGGGGGCAAACACCATCTTGAACTTGCCAGGCCGGTCAACAACAAAGTCTGTGGCCCTGTACTGTGAGATGTAACACCAAACAAGAGCAGTGATATCATTCCTCTGTCAGTTTGGATGCATCTTTGAAGAGCACACAACACACATTTTGCATTTCTTACCTGATCGCCAAAAGCATGTCTGCCGATTGTTATGCCTTGTGTCCATCCAGGGACAAGACGTGGGATGTTTTTACAAATAATTGGCTCCCGGAAAACGGTGCCATCCAGGATGTTCCTGATTGTTCCATTGGGACTTTTCCACATCTCCTTTAGCTTAAACTCTGAAAAAAATTGTATATGGATTATAAGCGTTTTCCATCTGAAGACCAAAAGCAAGTCTCCAAACAGTAAGGATACCTACTCATGAAGAACCAAAAAGCGTCATGTATTTCTATTAACACACTCACAAATATACAACAGATTTTATAACTAATGCAGCCATGGTTGAACATTAAAAAAATGCAGAAATATAAAGCAAAACATGTCATAAGGCTTGAAACTAAGGAAGCATTTTGCATCCCCTTGAGAGAAAAATGTTTACCCTGCTTTTCTGAATTAAAAAGATAATTATCAGAATGATGAAAATAGTTTCAAAACAGAAGGGACATTATGCTTCCCTGAAACCGAGCTCTCAAGTAAATGAGAGCTTCGGTTGGGATTTTGAGATATCTTGTTAGTAAAAAAAAAAAAAACAGGACAGCTCATTTTTCGAAAGCAAACGCATCATGCTTTTCTAAGTGACTGCCTGATTTGTTGTATAACTTTAACACATAGTATTCCATCACAGATACCATATAATTACACAATATGTCAAACTGACCCTCAACTCGGGCCTCGTCGGGAGTGATGGTGGCACACTTGACAGCCACGTTGTATTTCTTAGTTGCCAGAGCAGAGTCGATGGTGACCTGGTCGTCTGTCTGGTCGCGGTAGGGCAGACCCAGGTCGAAGTACTTCAGCTCAACATCCACGTTGGGCAGGATCAGCTGCACATGTGCAAGGTGTTACTGTGTTATTTATAAGAGGGTAACACTGCACAGCATACACACAAACACACACTGAATAAGTGTATTTACCCAAGTAGGGTACTTGAGTTAAATGTTGAGGTATTTTTTACTTTACTTGAATATTTCCTTTTTCTGATACATATATTCATACTTCTAAACCAGCTAAATTCTGGTGGAACTTTATTGTACTTTTGACTTAACTTTAATTCATTTGCAATCAGATTATTAATACAACCATAACTAATTATACTGTGTATTGTTATAGGTTAGGTTATACATGTTCTTGATCCTTTAGTTAAGTTAACAAGCTACTGGGCTGAATACATGGTAAACTAGTGCACAGTGTTCTTTCACTCATGTAGGATTTTGAATGTGGGATGTTTACTTGTTAAAATATTATTCCTAACCTTCGTCGTCCTCTGATTACCATAACCTTTGGATTCTGAATTCAAACATCCTCATGTTTTCTCGTAAGTAAAAGCGACTTACAGCTTTTTGACACAATGAAAGTATAAATCATTGTCAGCTAACTTCCAGACTGGATTTACCCTTTCTTTGATGAATTCCCATATGATGCGAGTCATCTCATCTCCGTCCATCTCCACCACCGGCTGCTCCACCTTGATGCGCTGTGTGGCATCTGAAAACAATCACAGTTACATTAACTCTCATGTTGTACAGTGTAGTTTAAAGCCACAGGGGGATGATGCCGAACATTTTTGGGTCAGGCAAAACTGAGAACAAACTGATCACACCTGCATTTGGGTTAATATCTCTTTCACTACTTAATAATGCAGGGTTCATTCTTACTGAGACAGTGACTTTCGGATTATTTATAATACTAGTATTACCTGTGTAGACTTATTTGCTCCTGACACACATGAACTCACGTGCCAAGACAGGTTGGTACCTGCCTTTATTGTAGAATTCATAAGATCCCTTTGTACTGTATTAATATCCATTTCATCATACACATTTGATTCAGTATTCAGTATGATAACAATGTTGGTTGGTTCCTTACTAACATCTTGCTTAAGGTTGTAGATATTGTTTAAACTTTCTGTTCTGAGTTCATATAATAATTAAATGCAATGCAAGGTGTTTAGAAATGTGATATCTAAATCCTTCAAAAAGCGTGTTTGTGTGATTCACTGATGGCTAGTTTCCAATCAGCATGTGACCTTTTACTGACGTCTTAGCTTAGTAAAAATCATTCATAAAACCCACTCACAAAGCCAGCCACATTAATGTTGCTGACCATGCCCACTTTAGTAATACATTTCGAGTCATATTGTCAAAGTTTAATTTTTAAAGGGTGACTTACAGTTCCTCTGTTGGAGCCTGTGACGGCAGCCGACAGCCGGTGAGAGCACTGCGGGGTTTAGAGTCATGGAAGCGGCTGTACTTCTGGACACGGTCCTCAGGGCTTTCAGGTAACCCGCCATGTTTACCGGGATGTTAGGGACACCTGTGCCCTCTTTTCTTATGAATTAACGTCACGCAGGTAGCAGAGCCCGGTAAAGTAGGGACACCCCGGACGTCAGCGTTTGATAACACGTCAGCTTGATGGAGCATGCTTCACTCTGATTGGCCAGGAGTCTGATTCAAGTTCAGGTTCCTCTTCCTTATTTCCTGCAGCAGCATGTCCAGGTGGCGTTTTAGCTAGCTTTTATCCACACTGTCAGTGGTGGAAGGACTGAGCTGTTTTACAATACCACAGTCTAGACTAGAAATACAGAGAATATACCCCATTAAATATAAGTCATACTTTTTAAACGTTCACTATAGTATTGTTGTTGATATGAAAAGGTAAACGATTCTACTAAGGGTCTAAGTCAGCCAGAAAGCTTGAATCATTTCTGGTTTCTTGAGAAGAAACATTCTTAAGTAAAGCTGGATCTGAGATTTGTGGCATCTCAATAGACATTCAGGATAGGGTGTACATGCAAATCATAATCAGGCAATATTGTGAAATACTTTCCACCAGGTTTTATTCAAATCTGTTGACAGGTTGTTTGGACAATATTAAGAGAGATAAACAAAGAACTGCAGTGAAAGCCTTAATGATTGGTCACTTCGCAATGTCCAACATGTATCTTTAAGAAAAAAGATGGACTTATAATCACACCCACGACATGTAATAAAATAAGTAACTGAGAATCCAATCAATCAGTAACAAGAAGACGCAACCATAAATCGACACATTAAAACAGTAAACTAAATTTGGTAGGAAATGAGAAAAGAAAGATTTTTTAAAAAGGCACTTTTGTATGAGACACAGAAGGACATGAGGGAGAAAAGAGCTCTTACACCTCATTAAAACAATTCTTTTGCACATAAATTAAGTTAATAACAAACATAATCAACATTAGAAAACGAGAACAACTAACATTCAGAAATAACCAATGTGCCACAACGTACTAGATATTCTGATGACACCCCCCATGAGGTTCCTACTGTCAAAGCAATCCGGGTCATTGACAGATTAATCAAATTTATTTGCTTTATTTTGCACCATACAATAAACTAGAAGGGCACTCCGAGAGAGCCGACCTCCACCAAGGCTGTTTACGTGAGTGTAAAATAATGTGTACATCAGATCAGCTGAAAAATGTAATGTGTTTTTCCTTGGCACAACTTCTCACCAAATGTAAGGAAAAATGGAGCAAGTACTCCTATAAACCTGCTGACAAAGTTATAAACTGTAAACATCAACTTCTTGGAGGAGGAGGTAATCTGCTTCAAGTGTGAGTGCTGTTTCTTCACACAGACATGAAAGAGGCATTTAGTAGGCAGGCTAACAAATAACAAATAAAGACTTCCCAAACTATCTATTCAACAAAAAGGTTTGCTGGAAATACTACAAGCTGTGTGCTAATCTCATGAAGCATTCAGGTTCACATCGACGAGGTTCCACCCGTGTTTCTCAGGGCACATCAGGAGAAAAGAGTTTTAAGTTGTGGCCGCCACTGAGCCTTTCTTCTCGCTGAAGAAGCTCCTAAGCATCATGACTTGACCGATGCCGATAACGAACAGCAGGACGGTTTCTCCGATGGACCAGTAGGTGACCCGCTCCAGGAGGTGGTCAGCTTTCGTGCGGTCGTGTGCTTCTCTTAGCCTGTACCACGTCTGCGAGTCAGCCACCACCTTCAGGATCTCATGAATAGACACGCAGGACGACTCCATCTGAAAGTGGAAAGGGCAACAGAAAATTCATCAAAAGGCCCGGGGCAGACATACAGTACAAGGTGGGTCACACTTATGCAAACATTTAAATCATATTGTATTATCAAAACTGCTGCTGAACACATTTACTTTGACCTATTTTCCTGCAAGTCTCAGGATTTAAATTAGGTAAAAGTGGAACATATATATATTACACTTTCCTATAACCATTGAACTAAGAATGTGGGCTCATATGGAAAATCTGAGTATTAATTGTTGTTGATACATTTTAATGGAAAATGTTTCAATATCCATGTAAATGGAAAAGATGACTTAATCCAGTTTGTGTGCAATTGGAAATTAACCTTTATATACAGTCTATGTTATAAATATTAACACAGCAGGGCGTTGCAGGTACTGTGGTAAGGAGAGGGAATTAAACACTCGCGAATAATATTGTGCAATGGTTAATACAATATTTGCAGTACATGGTGATGCTTGTTATGTTATACTTTTATATTTGCACTCTTTCCCAATTTCTCCTACAGTCATTTCCCTCAGGATACAACAAGTTTTATCTTATCTGTAGTCAGAACTGCTCTAGCTCCACCGAGTGAACTTTCCACCGTTTGCATTACACATATTTATGTTCTACTACAATACACAGTATTTTATCCTTGTACAGTATTTCCTTTAACATTCTGTTTTAAGCTCATCTTATTATATATATATATATATAGTTGACTTCTTACACATCTACCTGCACATTTGTCACTTGCAATATTCTCTTGCAATATTTTTATTTATTTCTGTTCTTCTTGCACTACTTTTTTTTGTATTGCATTGCTGAAGGAGCTTGGGACTTAAGCTTTTCATTGCCATAACTACACTGTAGCTATTGTGCATATGACAATAAATCTTTGAATCTTTACATTAAGTGTCCCAACCCAACTTAACTACTATCAATGTAGACTAACTTAATCAACACAACACAATTGGCAAATAAAGTGTCTTTTTAATCAATATCTCGCCTTCAACTTATGCAAAATGCCTCAGCAAGACTTTTAACAAATACCAGCAGGCTAAACCACATCACCCCTTTTTTAATCTCTCTTCACTGACCACCTGTCTGTTTTAGAATTGATTTTAAGATTTGACTGATTACTTTTAAAGCTCTTAACGGTTTGGCTCCTGATTACATCACTGACTTGTTGTGCCCTTACGAGCCTGTGCGCAGTCTGAGATCCTCGGGAAGGGCTCTGCTAGCTGTTCCCAAAAGAATCAGTGACATCTTTTAAATCACTTCTTAAAACTCACCTTTTTATTAAAGCTTTTAACTAATGAGGACACCACTCTGTTTTACTCGACATCCATGTGTTATTTGTTTTACTTTCTTTCTTTTTTGTATTACTGCTGCTATTGTTGAACTGCCGTATATTTTATTGGGTGGGTTTGAGACATTTTTGATCGCATGCTTTGATACCGCCTGAACGGACTTTTCTTAATCCATGAAAAGCACTTTGTGACGGTGTTTTGAAAAGTTCTGTTTATCAAAGTTATTATATATTATTAATCTGGATTATATCTGTAATGTGAACATATGGATTGTAGTTTTCTGTTTGGTCTTTTTGTACGTTTTCTGTTTGACTGCCCATCAGGGTGTACCTGCAACCGTTTCAAAATGGAGGAAAAAATAAAGCAGATTTCTCAGCAATGCAGCAGGGTAATAACAAATCCCTAGCCCTAGCCCCCTATGTGCAAAGACAGAAACTATGTCATTGTGTGGTTCTCTGAACAATTTTAAGAATCCATTTTCTCACACACTGGTTCAACTACTGTAAGTATCAGCCTGTGTGGCTCTATAAAGTATTTCCACTGCAGCTAACAGATGTAAACACCCAATCCTCAAGCGAACTGTAGTACCAAACTAAATTACCTGAGTCAATGCTACAGGTCCAGTCATGGTCTGAATGAGAGGTTCCTCATCTCCATGGCGGAAGTCCAGGTACACGGTTTTATCCGTAAATGTGGAGAACTCATTGCTGAAGCAGACCTTGTAGACTCCCTTCATAGCAGTGGTGTGAGAGAAGCTGTCATACTGCTTCTTCTGCTCATTGTACAGGACATTGTTCAGAGGATCCGTGACAAAGCTGTCCACATCATAGTTGCCTCCTGCAATGACCTAAAAGAACATTAAAAGGCACAAGAGACACATGTGTGAAACAGTAGTAACATATGGTGTAACATATGGACTGAGCAATGCTGAGCCGGCTCAAACTGGTTATGCAGGAAACACTTTAGGAGAGTAAGAAAACAAACCTTTACCAAAACATTATTTCAAAAATATAAGTGTTATAAGATAAGATTTACTTTTTTGATCCCAAACTGGGAAATGTATTCGTTACAACAGCAAGTTAAAACAAGGCATTGCACATACATTGAAAATAAAGAGAAGAATATAAACCAAATGTAAAATATAATAAAACTGAACAAAAAAGTTAAATACAAATTCACTGTGAAAGATTATCTGACAAATAAACACCAAGAAGGGCCAAATTACTGCTAACACAATTTAAAAGTAGGATAGTATGTACATTGAGAGTGCTAATATGAAACTATAAGTATAGGAAGGCATGTCAGCACTATGCAACACTATGCATGTTCTCTTTCCAAGAACAAGAGACAGACACCACACCAAATGACTATCTTTGGAACCACTTTGGCATCATCCTGTAAACACGGAAGACGGAAGTGATGAAGCTTTCGGAGTAACTCACTTGGAAGTCTATATCAAACTTCACGTCTTTCTCTAGTTCCTCGTAGAAACATTGCTTATCGTTGTCAGGGAGCTCGAACGTGAGCTCCGTCCCAAACACCACGAACACATGCAGCAGAAAACAGCTAAGTCCCAGGTAAACCATGATGAGAGCAACCAGAAGATGCACAAACAGGAGCAGCACTGAAGAGGAGTTTCACAGCTCTGACGTGGCACCAGGAGGAAGTACTTCCGGGGCACGTTTGTTTAGTTTTGGGTACAAATTAGCTACAATTATCACACGTAAGATAATATCGTTAACAATACACCATATAACATCTAAATGTGACACAAACAAGTTAAAAAACAAAATTACTGCAAAGCATCTACATTTAGATCTTAGCCAATGATTACACGAAGCACAAACATCCATGGAGTTAAGATTTCAAAATAAAAGCCCCATAATTTAAACTAACTATACTTGTTAACCCACACATTATCTGTTATTATACAAAACAAAAACACAAGTCTGGTTTAGGAGTTATGTATTTTAAATGGTAGAAGCAATATTCATGAAATGTAAATATAGGTCCCTGCATTCAAAATATATTAAAGTTAAGTGGAGGAAGATGTATGTGTACCAGTCTATGATGTGTACACATGTTTTGAAAATGATTAAGGCAAGTCAATGGTAATGCAGTATTTCATATCATTGGACCCTTGTTGTTGGTGCATTGACATGTTACCTGCAGTTGGAGCACATTTGAACTTAAACATGTTGTTGGTTTAAATCATTGAATGACTTGTCATGTTAATTTGGAAAAGTAATAAGAATAGAGCAATTCAATAATTGTAGTAAAGTAGGAAATACAATATTTGTATCAGTAGTGGAGAAGTAAGGTAAGGCAAGTTTATTATTTCAACACAAGGCAATTTAAAGTGCTTTACAAAAATGAAAGGCATTAAGAAAATGGCATTTATGAAAAATAGCTAATAACTAAAATACTACCTTAACATTGTAGGTACAGTACATGCAGTAGTTGATTAAATGTACTTAGTTACCTTTTACTAATGTTGTGTTGTCAAATGTGATTTCTGACCAAATTAAGAATAACAATTCAACTACTGGTGTTGCATTTAGGGAAACACTGAACTTCGGTTTGTTTATATAACACAGCAGAAGATTAGTCAGCGAGCTGCAATGTGCAGATGGGTGTGTGTAGGGTGTGTGAAAGCTACACAGATCGGCTGCTCTGCTCTCATTGAGCCTGGGAAAGATTATCAAAACATGCCCGAGATTAGCAAGTCATTACCACAAGTGCAAATGTCATCTTTTAATTGTAGATAAAAGCCAAACAGCAGCAGCTTGTAGTGCAACACAACATGTGTCATGACATTAGAGAAGAGTCTTTTATTCTGAAAATCCCAGCTCTTGCACCACGCCCAATCAAAATCGTCTTTGCTACACCGAGGAAGTGGAAACAGTGTTTGTTTTTTATAGCATTGACTTTCATCCTATAAACTGCTCAGTGATATTCTGAGCGGACATTACTTTTACTTCTTTCTACTAAAGCTTGTAGTTTGGTAATAACAATTAACAGGCTAAAATATGCAAAACTACGCAGATAATATGAGGGACTTTGTGGAGAAGCATGCAACCGGTCTCGCTGTTGCTTTAGTTGCAGGTAAATGTTTCTCTTCTCTCAAGGATATTGTGTGTGCTGTGTTTGTACCTTTCTACGTTTTCTATCATGTCAGTGCAAAGAAAGCTAACTCTCCTACTGAGAATGCAGCGGGTTGGAATATAATGGTACATTATCAGGCAGAAATATGATTGTCAGAGAAGTTTGACATGTTGTTCACTATGACACATGTATTCATGTGAATGCAGCTCACTTTGTTAATATCTTGAAATACCAGTGGAGTAGCCAATTGATTGAGCATTGTTAAGTATGAAATAGTAAGTATTTAGAGTATTGTCATAAATGCACAGTGAAATTAAGCTCCTTATATTATAATCTCCTTGAATCTAAAGCCATAGCTGAAATTCGAAAGCAGGGGTTCAATGCAACTCTTGTAAGAAGATTTGTTTTACCAACAGTTTATCACATCTCATATTCAAGGACCAAGAAAACTGTATAAATGAATGTATTCTATTTCAATGTTAATAATTACTGCTTACGACACCTAGTCAAATTCCTGGTATGTCTGAACCTACCTGGTAATAAACCCGTTTCTGATTCTGATTCTGATTCATTGAACATTGGGGTAAATACAAAAATAACTACCAAAACCAGGCATATTACACTGCATTTGATATTAATGTTATTATTTGTTCTTCTGTCAGGAGTGAGCGCACTGGCCTTGCGGAGGTGGATGGCTGGGGGAGTGTGTCGGAGCAGGGTCAGGCTGGACGGGAAAACAGTCCTGATCACAGGAGCCAACTGTGGCATTGGGAAGGAGACGGCCCTGGATATGGCCAATCGGGGTGAGCGTTCATTTTCTGTAAATATTATTTGTTGTTGTTTTTGTGCGGCACTATTATGTTAACAGTGTCTTTGGATTTAACTAAATTGACTGCTTCCTTGACTAGTTATTCAATACTACTTCCACTTTTCTTTATCAAGGAGCCAGAGTGATAATGGCCTGCAGAGACATGACTAAAGCCCGCATTGCAGCTGATGAGATCCGCCAGCAGAGTGGAAACGGCAACGTGGTGGTGAAGAAACTGGACCTGGCCTCGCTCCAGTCTGTCAGGGACCTGGCCAAAGAAGTCCAGGAGAATGAGGAACGTTTGGACATCCTCATCAACAATGCAGGTGCTTTGCAGGCGTTCTCCCTTACATTTTTACCACAGGAGCGATAATGAAGTAATCAAAAGCACCACACATTTATAGGAAAAAACGGATGTAATGTATAAACCTACGGGCATATTTCGGAGCACTTTTAAATATCACCTCACAGCTAGAGATCACAACTGAAGCCATTTCCGATTTATGCTGTCTTTTATTAAATCAAATACTTACAATTTATATTTTAGAATGCAATATCTAGACAAGTATTGAGTATCAGCATAGAGGCATGTCCACTACCATGGCCCATATTGCACAAAAATACCTCTTCAACAGTGCCATGGGAGAGACTGTTTTCTTTTGCAGGCCACTGTCATCGAAAAATGTCATCAATCTAGTCAGCAAGAGCGACTGGTCAAAAGAAAAGTAGACTGAACTGGTTGACTATAATCATGTCATAAAAGTTCCCACTGTTCCAAGTAATCGTATTCAACTAAGAGTGTGGAAAGACACTATTCACTTTCTCTCTTTCGAAGTCACTGTGACATTCAGTTTCTTAGATATGCATTTAGATATGCCTTCCTTCTCAGCATGGAATTCATTTGGGTGATATTTAACTTTACAGACAAGCTGTTTACAACCACTTTGTAGAACATTTGACTTTGTAATGGTTTCTTATGTTGTTGTGCTAATTAAAAGCAATGCATGCCAACAATCAGAAATAATCAAAACTAAGCTGAGATGTTAAAATGAAAGTAAAAAAGACCATCCGCATTTAACACCACACATGAATACTAGCATTTAAAACTTACTTGATCATGATTCCGGTTTCTTATTTAAGGGTTTTATTTGATTTCTAGGTATCATGTTCTGTCCTAAGTGGGAGACTCAGGACGGCTTTGAAATGCAGTTTGGTGTCAACCACCTGGGACATTTCCTCCTCACCAACACTCTTCTGGACCTGCTGAAGAAATCGACTCCAAGTCGCATCGTCAACGTCTCCAGCATGGCACACGAGAAAGGTAAAGGCTATGTTTCCATCAATTTGTATTCATCAAATAGTGGTTACAATTTTCTCTCTGACATTTTTATTCACTCAGATTCATATTATACTTTGGTTTTTGTGATAAATTAAACGTACATGATTGTTTTGGAATTTCAAAATGTATTTTCTAATTAAAGACTACACGTTATTGTTTCATACAGGCCGCATACATTTTGAAGACATCAATCTGGATAAAGACTATGATCCCCATACCAGCTACCGCCAAAGCAAGCTAGCCAACGTGCTCTTCAGTAGAGAACTAGCTTCTAGACTGAAAGGTAGGGTAATAAGGCATTTTTCAAAAATGCATGTTATTCATCAGAAACTGTGTCCCACCTTTTTAAATAAATATGTAGTAAAATATGTTTTGTTTTGCTTTAGTTGACTACAGTTGCCCCTTTAATTTCCTGAATAGTCTTATAGTGCTTCATGCAACTAACCTTTGATTCGATGCATCCCTCTCATTAGACACTGGAGTGACGGTGTACAGTCTTCACCCTGGGATCATCCGCACCGAACTAGGCCGCCACCTTTTCCCTACTTTAGCCATGTGGAAGAGGATCGTTGCTGCAGCAGTTATGACCTTTGTCAAAAGTCCCTGGGAAGGAGCTCAGACCACCCTCCACTGCGCTGTGGACGAGAGACTGGCAAACTCAAGCGGCCTCTACTACAGGCAAGTACAACGCTGATAATTCTCCCCCAACTGGGAAGATAAACCTCGGTTTATATTTGCAGTTGTCTAGAATTCAGTCCACTTAATATACATTTGTTGGTCCATTTTACAATGGCAGAGAAGGACAATGAAATAATGAATGATGGCATAGTATACTTCTTAGAGTATAAAATCACGAGACAAGGATTTGCTCGCTATCTTTCTCATAGATTTCCTTTTCTTTTTCTAGAAGATGTACATTTGGAGTTATAACTTTTTTTTTAGTATATTAAAAGTGGGGTAGTCAAAATGGATGAGACTTGAATTTAAGGCAAATATTAAATCTAGAATATATTTATATTTATTTGTTGTTGTGTTACTTTAAGAGACAAAACCGTTGCGCTTTGGCTTCTGTGTAACATTGGAAAACTGGAAGCTAGACCAGCTTGAAATCACTCCATTTTCTTTACCGTGTCCTTTCATTTCTTTAGATTTAGATAAATAGATAGATACTTTATTTATCCCAAGTAGCATTTTGACATTCAGAAAACTAAACTCGGTTGATTTGACCTGTTCGTGACAAACATGAGATCAAATTGACTTGTGTTTTCTCAACTCTACAACAAATGTCAAGTGGAATTTTGTATAACTTCATTAGATAAACCCATGTCGACCTTGGCACACAGCTGGATTGCATTCCTGCAGTTTCAGGACTCTTGTTGATTCTCTCCCCCTTTTTGATTTCCTCCCGCAGTGACTGTGCCCCCAAAGAGCCGGCCCCCCAGGCCCTGGACGATGCTGCAGCGAAGAGGCTGTGGGACCTCAGCGCCTCCATGGTCGGTCTCGCTTAAACACAACACTCCAGCTTTATTCAGTGGATCACTCACAACAAATGAGTTTTATTATCTAATGGGTAACGGCACTGCATTAATTATCATATTTTCAGATTCAGACCTGACATTCTTTCTTTGGTGTACAACATTTGCAATATGTAATCCCAGTCTCCAGTTGGTTGAGTTGATATTAATCTTAGGTGCACTGCTTCATCTTTATATTATGCTTTTATGATTTATAGTTTATCAATGGTATGCTGCTCTGTCAAAATGATGCTTCAAATGTACCATCTTTGTGGATTTTTGGTGCTTTAGATAAGAGATATTGCTTTGTTACATTTGACTTTGATAATTTGGAATACCATGATGCTTATAGCACAACAAGCGTCTATCAAATCATGCGTGTCGCAAATCCTAATGACTTCAAATGGTTGCTTTTATTCATGGCATCTGGTATAAAAACACGTAAAGCACTACAACAGAGAAAGGGAAGCACTAAGCCTGTTTTTGTAGATTGAGGTGGAAGAAGTAGACTGTGTAAAAGTATGCGGACGTTTGCGCAAATGTATGCAAAGTGACCTTACAGTGATATGCTGACAGAGGGGAGGAGATCGTTACACTTCAGAGGAGAGAGGATCCTCCACCAGGTGTAGAGAGGAGGGGACGCCTCGGGGGGGGGACGCCTCAGTTACAGAGCAGCCAGTAAATCAAGATTGTAGCTTAGGGAAACTGTTGTTGTGTGTGTGTGTGTGTGTGTGTGTGTGTGTGTGTGTGTGTGTGTGTGTGTGTGTGTGTGTGTGTGTGTGTGTGTGTGTGTGTGTGTGTGTGTGTGTGTGTGTGTGTGTGTGTGTGTGTGTGTGTGTGTGTGTGTGATGTGTGTGTGTGTGTGTGTGTGTGTGTGTGTGTGTGTGTGTGTGTGTGTGTGTGTGTGTGTGTGTGTGTGTGTGTGTGTGTGGTTTTCTGCATATTGATGTGTGCTTGTGTTCATTGTGTCTTTGTTCAATGCACCTATTTAGAATGAACAAAGTGTACAGCATAAACAATGTAAGACTTAAATAAATGTCTCATTAAAAGTGTTTTTTCTGGCAGTTTTTATTAAGATTTATTAACTCTTTGAGATGTATTTTATTGATAGGTGAGAATGAGAAAAAAAGTATCCAAAACAGTTGAAACAAAGTCTTATAGAGACACATTTAACGTTGCAGAAACGAATAGAGGATTTTGCAAACAGGTTATCGGCACATTTAAACATGGTATATTGTGTTTCAAAGCAGTTTATGCATCTTAAAATATGTCGAAGTCATTCTGAGTTACTTATTGTAAACTCAATTATTTAAAAAAGGTTTCCCTAGAAGTCTTTTAAATGATGCAAGTTGGTTGAACTAGCTTAGACGTTTAAAATGAAGAATCCCTCGGCTCTCATATCTAACACCATTTCAAATAAAGCCATGAGGTTTTCCTATGAATCGCATACATGTTCATACTTCTGTTTTCCAGATATCAGTTGTAGTTATCTCTCAGTCTGATTTTGATCCATCCTTTTGTATCAACACGTTTATTCTAGTGAGGTGTGTTAAAGTATGAGATGTTTTGTTACGATTGAAACTAAACACTCAATGACCTGTTATTAAGTAACAGGCTGCGTGTTTCTGGGTGTGAAAGTCATGTCAGTATTGTGGCATGCTAACTTTTGGATTCCACGTAACCAGTTGCATCATCCTCCGTGTTATAAATGAATTAGCCATGCTGTGTCATGTCAGGGTGTCCGAGTTCACGCCTGCGATTTTTACATTTAATTTTAAAGGATCTGAATTTAATCACACTCAAGGGAACTATATGCTCCCACTGACATACACACTGTTTCAGAACAATACATGTATTTATTTGTTATGGTCTTGCCTACATACTGCCTTTTTGAGTGAAGAATGTGATCTTGCCTGAAGCCACAAATGAAAACCAATGCTTTCTGACATATTTCATGGAAATATGACTTTAACCCAGGTGTTCTCAGTGCTGCCTGAAGGGACTCTTTGTCTCAGTTAATCTTCCACTGTCTCTCCTTTTACAAGACTAACGTGCAAAAACAAAGCTTCCCACTTTTTAGTCCTTTGATGTAAAGTATGACGCCATTTATCTAAATCTAAATCATCTACAAACACTTAAGATTATTTAATTATACACAAAGTATTAAATAGATCACAATGCAACTTAAATGTTAGTATTGGTATATGAACTTGCTTTTACCCTTTACTAAAGATTGTTTTCAAAAGTTAACATTTAAATATATGACATAGCGCTCTTAAGAACTTATACTTTTACTAACAGTTCTAGTCACGTGAAGCGAAAAATAACTAAAGCAGAAACACAAAAAAAGTCTTTACAATGATCACCAAAATGAACTCAATGACTGATTTACCCTCGAGGCTCTTTGACTCAGATGTTGTCTCTGCAGTATCTGAAGGTAATGTCATGCACATGCCCTTATCAGTTCTCCGTCCAACGGATACAAAATCTATAGCTGGGCTGGAAAAGTGATAAGGAGATGTGAGCGACCACAGAACCACAACAGCCGATGGAGGACCTAAGGTGAAGGGACGAAAGTGAGTCCTGAGAGGTTTAAACAAAAGTCCCCATCCATGGCCAGCCTGGAGACATCCCTTCTCTTTGAGTCCTGGTCCTGATCTGTTGCTGCTTCCATCGTTGAGCTGCAGAAGAAGTGCTGTCATGGAGGAAAGTAGAGTCTATTTCTACCATCTCTTCCTGCTGGAACACGCTGAGATCCTCACGCAGCGAGGAACTAGTTAAGCTGTAACCAGTCAGAGTGGGTTCCTGCAGAAGTGGCCCCTCGCTGTTTGACTGCTGACAAACTTTGGAGACACACCCCATTGATGAGTTTTATTTCACTGCAGCCCCGCCTGGCTCCGAGGGATTCCTCCGCTGCCATTGGTTCACACTCAGAACTCGCCATGCCTGCCCCCTGGCTCTTGTGGACTGGAGCCAAATAGTTCTTCCAGGTGTCAATCACAGGGAGATCAGCCAGTGGGATGAGAGAGGCCAGGCTTGTGTGTTCCCCACAGGTGTGGCTGAGAAGCGCATTCCTTATTGTACATACCTGTCAGCTCCTCTGGTATTCAGCGGCTCCTGGAGAGACCTCTGTTGACCACTCGCTCTCCCCTTTCCTCCTCATGGGGCCCCCGCAGAGGGAGAAGGACATAACTCCTCTTACTGTTGTACAAACATTTTTCTACCAGTGCCATCTTCTATTCTCTCTTAAAGTACACCACTTCCTTTAGAGTTATGATGTGCGATTCATTAGCAAACCTTGCGCCCAAGAACACCTTGTTTGTCACCGATGATGAGTCAGGATGTGCCTCGAAGGCTGTTTGGGGTGTGAACACATGGGAGTCACTATCAGCAACGTGTGAGCAGCACTGAGTGTTTTTATATTGCAGAGAGAGGTACAGGAACCACAGACCGCCTGAGTTTCTCATTTCATTGAACACACTGATATGTGGAGTCAGTTAGCGTACAGGTGCAGGCAGTGGCATGTGCCTTCCCCCCCCCCCAGCAGAGAACATCAGATCATCTGTCTGTTTTCCCCTCTGGAGATCATAAAGCCTAAACGAGAATGTGTGTGAAGCGGAGGGTTGTTTTGTCTGCTTCCTCTGGTATGCAGGCTTCTCTCTCTTCCTCTGTTCTAGCCATTTTCTTTATGTCTTTCTGCCTTTATCTCCCTCTCTCTCACTCTCTCTCACTCCTTCATCTTGCAGTGTATCCCTCTATCGCCCCCTCGCCCCCCCCCCCCCCCCCCCCCCCCCTCTCTCTCTCTCAGAGTACAGAAGCGAACAGTGTATGCCTCAGGCAGGTGCAGAAATGCAGGTTTGCAGCATTCACCGGCCTGAAGCAGAGCAGCCCATGCCATGATTACCTTTAGACGAGTCTGCGCATGTTTAAAGGTGAATCACAGCAGCCACAATGACTAAGCTCCTCTATGTTTCCAGATACTATAATATAGATGTAGATCGCATCAGATTATGCTTGTTTTATTTTAAGGAAATCCTTAACCCAGAAACAGCTTTGTAACTCAGTCTCACTCAGTCAGACAAACATTATCATTGGTGTATATTAAGGTACTTTAATGTATGGAAATATTAGCATCAGACTATTGAAAATGATACTGCTGCTGCTACGACCATTCAAAAATATAGTCATGATAAATGATCGCAATATTGACCTCTGATAATCGTCATGCAATCTAAGTTATGCAAAGGTTTAGTAACAAAGCACCCTAAAGCAAATAATGTTCATAGCTTAGGTTGTGTTTAGGCTAGCGGGAGAATAAAGTGTGTCACTGACCGTTTTGTTTATTCTGATATGAAACTTTATATTCCATGATATGTATTTGTTCCACTTTTGCTTTCATTAGTTTTGTAGAACCAGAAGATGGTTTTGGGGCTCGTACACATACATTTTTTACAGTGTGGAGTAAGAAAAAGTTGACAAAATGTAAAAACAAAGAAGGAAATATTTCTGAAATGAACTCTGCAGTATCAATACTGAAGTGGTACGGAGGAAATGAGAAGCTATCATGCCAGCTGAACACGATGTAGATCACTTCAATAGCCATGCGATTCATGTTATCTTAGTGAAGCTTAAATAGTTAAATCTCGGTTAAGACTGTATAAGAAGTGTTGATTCAACATGTTATCTACTTGATACGTATTTACTTTATCTGTTAGAAAATCTAAAAGAATGATTAATCTTTTATAAATATTATTTTGCACCTAAACACATGTTTCACAAATCCTCTATGAGGACAGCTTGTTTGAGTTCTCATAGAATACAATGTATTTCCATCTGTTTCTGTGTGTGTGTTACTTCAACCACAGCATAGCTGTCCAAACATTTTGAATTAGTTTATTATGGTTTATTTTATTGGAGTTTTATAACTGTTTGTCTATAAGAGGTCCAACTGGGAGTTTTATCTCTAGGGTCAAATGAAACATAAGTAATGTCAGTATGTAGGATCATTAAATGTCTCTGTCTGTGAATAACAAGTTGGCAAACTAAAGGGAAATATTGTTCACCTATTACTTATATAACTTAAGTTAGATTTAAGTTTGCAAAACATACTAGGTTATATGTTTTGTCAACTTTGTCAAATTTGAGAACAAGAAGGGTGACCACTACTGATTTTTAACACATCATTTTAATAAGGGGAGAAAAAAAGAAAATATATATTTGAAGGCATTTTTATTTTCACATATACAACACAGGGTAAACATGGGGGTTACTTTCAGCAGGAGTTTACAATGGCACTCAACAGGTGTGTGTCTATTAAACTATTAACTTTAAAATGTGATCGTGATCGTTTTAATGTACCTGTGAATTAAACCCCCTGACCTTTTGAATGATTCTCAGAACAGGATCAGGATGCGGATCAGGGGTGTCTGTAAGAGTTCCAGGGCCCGGGCTGGAGGGGGGGGTTCAGATATTTGTTTAAGGTTGTTCGGACCCTGAGGCTGTATCCTGTCGCTGTGGATAAAGACATTGTCGAGTGAGCAAACAGACAACAGGGAGGTGCTGAGTCAGCTGTCCTCCTGGTTTAGCTCACGCTGCGATGCCCCGGACGCTCAGCCGCACGGATCCCATCCCAATCCCATCCTCAGGGCTAATCCTACCGTCCATTTAAAAAAGTCATATATTCTTAATTTTTTATT